GCCTGCTGATTGGCTGCCTGCTCTTTGTCCTCGCCCCCACGTTCGTGTTCTGCTACATGGAGGACTGGAGCAAGCTGGAGGCCATCTACTTTGTCATAGTGACACTCACCACTGTGGGCTTTGGCGACTATGTGGCCGGTGAGGCCACCTTCCTTGTGCTGCACGCCCCTATCTACTTAATTCTTGCCCAAGGGCTCAGTAGTTCCCCCCCTCCAAATCCCACATGGCATTTGTGCACTCACTCCCAATTTCTCCAACCTTTGTATTCACCGTGGAATGCACCAACTTGAAAGCATGCGACGCCTCATGCACACTTACATTCTTGCATGCCTGTGTCCCGTGCATGCACACACATAGTAAGTGCACCCCCGATGTGTCCCATTATTGCACGAGTGCCCCTTTTGTATGCTCTTATCTTGCACACCTTCAACGCGTGCACACTCATCGTCCTGCATCCATTCACGCACTCTAGTACGTACCCACTGCCCTAGGGAGGGTGGATCCTCTCAACCAGCTGGGACGAGGGGCAAGTGAACCAGCGGCTCACAGGCTTGCTCCATAATCAGCTTCTTTCTGCCTTCCCTGGTGGTTTCCCAGGCGCCGATCCCAAGCAGGACTCTCCAGTTTACCAGCCGCTGGTGTGGTTCTGGATCCTGCTCGGCCTGGCCTACTTCGCCTCGGTGCTCACCACCATTGGGAACTGGCTTCGAGTAGTGTCCCGCCGCACTCGGGCAGAGGTATGCGCCCCTGGGCTGGCGCCGCGCTTGCGCCTGCGCCGTGGCGCTTATGCGCTGTCTGTGGGCAGCAGCTGTGGACCAGCGTGTCTCTTCCAAAATCTGGGCTCCTAGAGTCAGGGACTGAGTGAGCCCCCGTGCGTGTCTCTCCAGGAGCAGAGGGGTATACTCTGATAGGTTTGCCAGTGACTCCACAGCCTCTGCGCTCATGGACAATGTTGCCAAATTTAGCAAATAAAAATGCAGTCTAATTAAATGTGAATTTCAGATAAACAAGTAAAACGGGACATACTTATACCAAGAACGTATTCATTATTTATCTGAAATTCACATTTAACTGGACAACCGATATTTGCCACCCTGCTGGAAAACCCCCGGCTAAGGAGCCAGACAGAGGTGCAGAGGTCTCCCGGTACCCAGAGGGAGAGCTGAGATAAAACGGGCACTTTCTAGAAAGGCTCCGGGAGAAGGGGGAGTTTCAGTGCGGATGGAGAGGGGAGAGCGTGCAGCCAGGTGAGGAGCCCTTCTTTCTTCCGGTCAGCTGAGGTTGGAAAACCCAGTAGAAAAAAGGATGACTGAGTGGTGAAGGGGCAGGGCCCCAGGGTTGCAGATGCGGATGCGATCAAGGCCCCTAGCTGAGGACTGATTTTCCTCCCCACGCAGATGGGCGGCCTCACTGCGCAGGCTGCTAGTTGGACAGGCACAGTGACCGCGCGGGTGACCCAGCGAACCGGGCCCACTGCACCTGCGCCAGAGAAGGAGCGGCCACTCCTGCCTCCCCCCCCCCGCACCGCGGCGCAGG